GGTGCAAGGTAGTGTGAACTGTAGGGAAATAAGGAAATACCTTTCTGGGACAACTCCAAAGTTCTCCAAAAGAATTAGTGCCCACCATCTCTTGATTTTTGGAAAGTCATGCTTTAAGACAGAAATACAGAGAAATCTTATAAATATCAAAACAGCATGAAATCCAATTGCTTGTGCTCCTAATTACTTACAGATGTAAAGTCAAAGGGGGCTCCCAACACAACGTGTAGAGCATACAAAAAAAACCCAGCAAAATTTAAGAAAAAGTCAAATCATAATTAAAATGGGGCAAAATGAGTTTGAAAGATGAAAGATAGCAATGCCATTGTTTAGGGATCCCAGAAGAAACAAACTGATACTGTCAATCCATTAAATTGGAAGGCAAACATTAGTTTATTTATAGCAAAACATGATTTGCCTTACCACCAACAAATAAATCATTACATTAGTAAAGTACTTAACTATACTACAACACATTAATAAAACAACTCAAGATACCCATACTATCATAGACAACTGCCTTGCTGGAATGGCTCTGCAGATGCAATTTTAATTTGTCCAGTCTGGTTGGCTTAAATGTCCTGCAGAAAGGGCAATGATAAAGGCTGCAACAGTTGTGGCACTGTTGGAGCTGAGGTAATTCTTTACCTCTCTGAATTGTAGTATGTCTCTACAGGAGATAAAATGAAAAAATGCATAACACACGTTCTCTGTTATTTGAAAAAGTCAATAACAAACTTACAATGCTCTAGAATAGCATAAAATAAACCAACAAACAATGAAACTAATAGAATTATAAGAAAGCATTAAATATATCAAAAAGTAATACATTCAAACCATAAAGTGGCTTTATCGCAAAGCCCATTTACAACAAACAACCTAAAACGTAATCAAACTGTCCTCAGAAAAGTCCCGAAAATGGTAAATGGATGACAACAATTCAAAGCTTCAGAAATAAAATGTGAAAGGCATGCACATAAACAGTATTTATAACATAAACACTGAACTTTTGAAAAAAATTTTCATCACAAAATGACATAAACTTTACTCACCCTGCTCTCCGCCATGTTGTTACGTTTTACTACCTCCGTCCCTCACTTCCGGCCTGGATTGTGTGGTCTGGATTGTGTGTCCTGAAACGTGTGGGGCTGCAGCTGGATATATCTCAAGGGAAGGGGGAGGAAATGTCACGGACCTGAATGGACTGTATGCACGTACACCATATCTAGCACACACATATACACTGCACGCAGAATTAACACGGTCTTGCTGGCACTGATATCATTTATACACGGACCTGTATAATGCCTGTGAGTGTTCGAATGTACTGTGTATTATGTGTTTAAGATATGTGAGAGTATGATGTGTATTTTGTTCATTGTGTGTAATGGATATATGTACAATGTGTTGGGTAACATTAGCTACATTGTTCATTCATTTACATTATAAATAACCACAATACACATATGTTTGATTTAAAGTCTTTATTTAAGATTAAGTTACACAATATAACAAATATATCTTTCCCTGCTTGAAATACACCAGTGACCACCAAGTATTTAATCATGGTGGACACACAGTCTGAATGGGAGAAACCATGTTGGGTATGATGTCACTGAGGGGGGAGTTTATATTTGTTCATTCATATGTTGTATTTTTATATTGTGATTGGTGTAATTTATACTTGAATATATGTTGTTTTATATGCATAATGTGATAATAAGTGCATATGTAAGGAAGTAAACTTACCTGTAGATTGGTACATCCCGAGGTGTGGCCTAGACTATAAAATGGCTGCTGAAGTTGTACATGGCTGGTCACTCGTTAGTATTCATGGTCGAGGTTCAGGTTGGTCTGTGTGGAGAAGAGCAAGCAATAGATGCTTGTGTTTAAGGAGTTTGTTAACCAAACTATTCAACTGCTGTTGAAACTACGTTCCAACAAAGAGACTTGTAAATATATATATTAGGGCTGGGCAAGTTAACGCGTTATTGCGTTAACGCGTTAATTGATTAACACCGACAATTATTTTATTGTGCATTAACGCAGTTTTTTATTATTATGAATGTCCATTTGTAACGCCCCTGTGGACTATTTATTGTGGTTTCTTCCCCTTTTGTTGGTTTAGCCCGTACTAATTATTAGTTAATCACCTCATTGTGCTCACCTGTCTGCCCCTCGTTATCTGCCCTATATTAGTTCCTGTCTCTGGTATTTCTGTAGTTTGTCGGTTATTGTGAATGTTACCCCGAGTGTGTGTGTCGCACCTTCCTGAATCTGCCTTGTTGTGTCTACATTAAAAGTCATTGTTGGAATCCTTGTCGTCCTGCCTGCCTCCACACACCGTGACCGTGACAGAATAACCGACCCCTAAGTAAAGTATAGCAGCATCTTTCCCCTCGTTTGTTTTTCCAGTTTTTGTCAGTTTTTATTTTTATGTTATGGATTACCCCGCCTTCCAAATCCTTCTGCTCTCTTGAGAACCACACAAACGACTTTCTGTCCCTGGCTCACCTCACGCACTACCCGGACACTTCCTGGGCAGAAGGCTCTTGTGGAGCTTCGGAGGACCATGGGGGATTTGGGGTTAGGCAGGCGGTAAGAGTCGTTGGAGTGGTATGTGGACATCGCTGACAACAACACCAGCCCCATTCAGGACACTGAGCCCAGCCCACCGATGACGAAGAGCCATTTCCCGCCGCAATCCACGAGCCGGAGCGAAGCCCCGTGGATGAGAAGAGGATCGCCGCGGATATTGAGCCCAACACGTCAGACCAGTTGCGAGAGCCGGTGACAGTGCCCACCACGAGGGAGCAAGCCGTGGATGGTGTGAGTGCGGAGAGGAGCTCCGCCCCCTGCATCATGGCTGAAAGTGAGCTGACTATGGCAGAACATAATGGCCAGAATATGGAGGGAATTCAGTATCAAAACGAGGAGGAGAGACCTCGGAATCCTCAGTTTAGCCCAGGAAGGGCTCCCGATCCCCTGTCGAGCCTAGGAAGGGCTCCCGATCCCCAATTCAGCCCGGGATGGGCTCCTGATTCCTCGTTAAGCCCGGGATGGGCTCCTGATTCCTCGTTAAGCCCGGGATGGGCTCCTGATTCCTCGTTAAGCCCGGGAAGGGCTCCTGATTCCTCGTTAAGCCCGGGAAGGGCTCCTGATTCCTCGTTAAGCCCGGGAAGGGCTCCTGATCCCCAGTTCAGCCCAGGAAGGGCTCCTGATGTTCAGTTCAGCCCAGG